TGTAGTGGTCCCATATGCGGGCCAGCCGGACGATCACGACCTTCAGCGGTACACGCGTCAATCGGGTTGACAGATGGCCTTAAGTATGTTCTGATCACTACGAACTGTCAGTCGCTTCAAACTTCAGCTAAATTTGGCACTCTAGCGTAACGTGTAAATGTTATGGAATGATCATCTGACGGTATTCTTAGGGGCCAGGGGATCACTCAATTCCGCTCCGTATTGTTCGTAGACACGTGGACTACTCTGGCAAAGAATTATCTCACTCCAATTCGGAAAGTGAATAAACTAACGGATCTATTAACTTTAGCTCCGGTCGTACATTGGATGCACATGCTCTGGCTCCTCTTAGTTCTATCCACTTCACTTATCTACCCCTGTGGTAGTTACTTAGTGCTTATTTACGCTCGTTTGACTTGACATCGGACTACCTCACCCAGACGGTGCTCTGAATCTTTGGCGAGCTCGACTTGTAGTATATCTAAAGCGCGAGTCGGTTTCTCTGAATGAGAATGACGACACCCAATAGTGCTGGATAGATTATTCATACGATGTGATCTGGAAGGGTTCATGATGGTATATCTAATCGGTAGGCGGGACGGTTGATCAGGCGTAAAGCAACATTTACGATCAAGAGCAAATGAGAGATTGACTGGTGGAGCTACTACCGTATGTGGGCCGCTCTATCGTGCCGGGAGCAGGAAAACCAGCCGAAGGATATTGGTTGAGTGAAAGCGAAAGCTATGGGTTCATCTTAATAAGGGTTGATTGGGCACAAAGTCAGTTGGAAGTTTGCGGGACATTCTCCCCACCAGCTCCCTCAGTCAATCACCTCCTATTCGGGCTAGGTTTCAGAATTAGGTGTGTGGAGCCAATGCGTGTTGTACGCCTTCCAAATCTAGTTGACTCTTTATATTTGGAGCCTCAATAGAGCCCCACCAAGGAGAACATACTACCAATATCCGCAAGGTTCTGAAGATGACAATATCACGTAAGGATTTCAAGATGCCGAAATGATGAGGATTTTCCGCGTTCAGCCTGACAGACACAAAATGCCATCATTAAACTTGTTTGCAGGAGCAGATGCGGCTCATAAGAATATAAAGCTTTTCACATTCTTCATAATTTGCTCATATCAAGCTTCTTATTCTACTCTTTGTATTGACAACAGATATCTTCCTCTTTAACTACATTTGAAAGAATACTTGAGCATCGTCAATCCATTATAATTTGATAATTCACCTCAAACCCTGTATATTATAATTTTAGATATAATAATATAATATATTAGATAGAACAATTTAAAGTTGTGCATGATAACAGATCAGTTTACTTGACCGAAATTAAATTACTACACCATCAATAAATCCCTAATTCAATGAAAAAATATATGTTCATATTGGTATAATTATTTTTGAAGTAAAAAATTACTCTCTGGAAGATAGAAAATTGATCAACAATATGTGACTAAATGGCTTCAATATCATCGACTATGTTTAAATGAATATTTTAAGCTATATAACTTCATGATTAAGTGTTACATACCTAAATCAAAGTACTAAAATCTTATTTATATCAAGAAATTATTGAAATTTTTTACAAAAGTTTGAGTCAATATCTCATCTTGTCATAAAAAAATTTAATTTAATTAATTGAACAACATAAATTTGAAACAAAAGAATAATGCTTCGTACGAAATAGTGACTTTTAAAATTAAAATTTGACATAAAAACGCATGACAAATAGGTTCTTTTCTATTTATCTACATTTTTTTTTCCAGCTTTCTGATTGAGTGAAGCTACAACTTGGTACAAAAGTTGACTTATCCATGAAAGAAAGCATGGCATTTTGACAAATACATGACAATCTTATCAGCTTTTTCATGTTATGGAATATTGACGAACTTAAAGTTATAGTTAATACGATAGTACACAGTGAAATCATGTTACAGTGATTCTCTCATCTTGTTTTTCTGTTCATCATTCCATCTAGATGCTATAAGTATTGTGATTATATTAATAATTTAAACCATAATTATTTTTTTGAAAATTAAGATGTTTTATAAAATTATATAAATAATTTTTTGGTTCAAATTATTAGAAAATAAATACGATTAAAAAATCATGAACTTATGAAAATGAAAAAATCATGAAAAGTCAGATTTTTTTGTATTTATAATTTGAAATTTATTGGATTATCTAAAAGATATAATAAGTATATATCTTCATTCTCTCTGAAATTTATGAAATTTTTAGTTTTATAAATTATAAATTTTATTATTAATAGAGTAACATGAATTTACTTGTTAAGTTTAAAACACCCAGATCGAAATCCAAGTATATACATATGAGTATGAATTTTGTTCAAAATTGTGTGGAGATAGATAAGTTATAATTTGCACATGGACACATTTTTAATGTTAATAATTCTATCTCATAACGTAATAGATTGAGGTATAGATACAACAAAGAATATAAATGAAAATATTTTTAGTTTTTCTTATCATAATAATTTTGGGTAATTTCAATTTCTAGAATAAAACTTCGAACACATTTGTTATAAGGCAAATCATACGGCACGGATATAGGTTCAAGTCCCACGGAAGTAAATTGTTTACATCTTATTCATATAAGATGCCAAAAAGTGAACATCAGAGGTTTGGCATTTTATATCTGTACAAAATTTTATCGTAGGGATACTTATCTTCTAGTCAAAATTTAGTGTTTGGTTTCAAGCACAAATCAGTTTTTTTTAATGCTCTTCCAAAGCCATTTGCCACGACGACGTTATGAAAATAGGTAGAATGCGTCACATTTTTTTTGGAGGAAAATTTTTGCTTGCAGATATAGCGATTCTTGGTTAATCTTTTGCATGAAATTCCAGGAGGAAGGGGAGTTAATTAACTGTGACACTTGGAGCCCTGCAATTGCTAGGTTAATTTATCGTTGATGCTTGAGCAAGTAATGATATATCAAAGGAATGAAAGAGGTTAGAAAAGATCCATGACGTCGACGCGGTACTTAAAATTTTCAGTTTAATACATGTGTAACCTGCTTGTTTGAAGTGCACGAAATTGTTTCCAAGATCTAAATGTTTCCTCTTCTGCTTTTGTGGCTTGGTGTACCGGTTCCCTCTGTACTATATTCGTTTTTTCCAGTGGCCGTTACGTGAGTGGATCGTCGTCAAGATGAAGTTTGCATGGAGAAAACCCGTATTCAGTGAGCTCCGTAGAGGAACATCTGTCTACTGGCGTATGCATAGTAGAGGCTAAACATACCAAGTCGATCTTTCAAGCTTAATTGTCACACTGCATGATCTTCATTTGCGCTTGCGGTTTGATGCTTAAAAAAAGTATGCTCTGAGGACTAACATGCACAGGTTATGCGCTTGACTACACCAGCCCTGTAAAGATGTCTATGTGCTAACCTTTCGTACTGTGGCAAAGAGCGACTACGTACAGAACTTAGTAAAGTTCAGCCTCGTGGGGGAATAAGGGAAAAAAAAGAGACTAGGGCATAAAATTGTGTACTGTACTTTTGTCTTCTCTCAGTCCCTTAGTTCCTTTTGCGTCGTTCTGGTGGGTAGATTTATAGTCATGTCAACGAGAACAGACCACCTCGTGTTTTAACCATTTCAATTATTGCACGAAACTTCATCCCCGCCACTCTTCCATTCAGATGTTGTACATGAACCCAGCTCGCTGAATATTTTGTCGAGAATCATCTTGTCAGGAAAAAATCTGAAGAACGTGACGGTTCCGTAGATGTCCATGGGAAAACCGAGATGCAATTGCAGCTCAGTAGACTGCAGGGGAGGGGATTCGCGTTCAGGCCTAATTCATCTTGACAGAAGCAGTCCCCTAAGGACAGGGGTGATAATGTGAGCAGAAGAGGAAGATGGAAGTTTTCGGTGCACAAGTCGCTGGTCTTAATAGGATGTTTTGACTACGTCTTATCCGTGTTGAAGTACGAGGATCCCCCAATAACGCAGTCAAAGGTGTTTGATATCCTGCAAACAGTAGTGAGGAAGAACAAGGGCCAGGGCTCTGAAAGTGGTGGAATAATACAAAAACCGGTAATCACCTCTGGTTCCTAGGCCATTGAATTTTGTTCGGGGTTCATGATCCTACTGCAGAATGCAGTTGAGGAGGTCTCGAGCATCGTGTGCTGTCAAGAGAAAAGTCTCCGAACAACCATTTCTCGATGCAGCTTCTTTTTCTCTCTCTGACTTTTATTTTACTTCTTGGCTCTCGCCGTATTCCTCAGAATCGATGAACTGGCTGTCACGCAAAAGCTAGAATGATAGAAAAAGTTGTAGATAATATTCTCGTTTTTTTATAATCATAAAATTTAGCTGTTTGAAGTTGGCCAAGTACTGTAGGTAAAAGTCATTGTAGTTTCTTGGCTGATATGACGTGGATAAGAAGAGTGAATCGAAGGTGACTCGGTAAGTGTCATCCTCTACCTGATAATCGTTTCTTTTCGGGGACGATATGATTACACCCATTTAGAACTTGCAATCTACACTCATGAAATATGATAAAAAGTAAAATACTTGACAACGGATGGTCCCCACCAGATTTGGCCTCGATGCAGGAAACGCTAATAAAAATCAAGCCCACGGTTCAAAAACAGAACATACGATTCTAAATTAGGAAGTCTTTTTCTGAAATGTGACGTTGAGGGCTGGGAAGCTTGGTCCAAGGCCATGGCTCGATAACCTGATCCTCTTCTCGACGGCAAGAGCTTTGTGGACTCGGACAAGCTTCGAGCATAAGAACAGGCATGTTTCGTATCTGCGGTTGACTTACAATCATGAGATGGGTATCATTGTGCATAACTCTTTGGGGGCGTTAGATCTTCCTGAGGTTCTGTTACAGCACTCCGTTGCAAGGATGAACAGGGAGGTGCGTTCGCACAGAGAATGGCCGCCTTGGCTTGGCTCGGCTCGGCTCGGCTCGGATCGCAGGTTGATGGACCTCTGCTGATAAGATAGGAAAGAAAGCGGACAAGACTTGAAGAAGTGGAAATCGTTCTCTGGAGATGTGTTCAATCAAACAAAATCCACACCTACTCGAAAAGTCATGCAAGTGGTGCCTGAAAGAAAACGCGTGTGGTCCCTCGCCAGGACCCGAGGAAGGAATTGTTCTCGGACTAAACAATTCGGAAGAGCGTAAAGATCTCCGCACTAGCCAAGTGCCCCAGCGGAGGGTGAACTGTGCACTTGGAACGCCTTCGACCACAGTCAATATCAGGACCACCACTGTTGCGCGCTGGCACTCGCCGGGAGGGAGGTGTACGAAAGTGGAGCTCCTGAAGTCGTAGTCATCCAGGAGATGCGATCAGATTAGATCCGCCTCTATTTTAGCCCGACGCAGCGTCTCCAAGCTCGGGCCCGGATGGCAGCATGCAGCAGATGATGGAGTTGGTGGTGTGGGCGTAAAGGGTACAGTAGGAAAGTCGTAGACGGTCAGTGGAGGTTTCGGAAGAGGATGAGGCCGAGGAGACGGTATTCTTTGTGTGCACTGTGGGGGAATTCGATTCGGATTCAGGGATTGATTGTTGCGAAAGCTACAACACGCTAGGGCTCTGCCAGATCGGCCCCGGCTATGGATGCCTGTCGCGTCCGTCTGCACAGCCAGCACTGGGGCAGGGCCGGGGCCAGCGCGGCCAGCCAGGCCAACACGGTACAACGTCATGCCAACTAAGTGCTATCATGTGGGCATGTTGTCCTCCCCCGCTCCACGGCAACAGCGCGCTTTCTAACCTGCTCGGAGAAAAAAGGAGCGAGAAAGATAAGCGAGCGGAGGATCGGATGAGATGGAGGGCATTTGGCATTGTTTAGAGAAGAGGACTCGTCTCATCATTGGGGAGGGCGAATAATGGGGCCGAATGAGGCCCCCCGGGCCCCGGAGCAAGAGAGAATCCTGGCTCGCTCTGCGTGAGACAACTTCCTCGGCTCTTGTCTTCACCTGATCACCATTTGCTGCGCGACGAGGGTGCCCCGAATCGGAAGCTCTCATTGGGCTCTGGGGAACCCGTCCATGACGTAAACTCGGGCTACAATCCGCGACTCCCGAACACTGGAAAGCTCACGTGTTGGACATGAAATCGAAAGGCCTTATCAATCAGCCTCATCCTCCGCTTTTGACTTACATACTATTCTTTCCTCGTGGCACATGGGCCCCGTCGCTTTCCTTGCAGAACCCATGAAAATTTTACCGCCCTCCGTCCCGCCCTCGAGCCCGCGCGCTCCCGCCTTTCGCGTCACTTGCAATTTGCTTTGCCCGGCAGCGCTTTTCCCTTTGGCAAGAGTGGGTGGCACGACCCTCGTCGTCCTGACAGTGCCAATGACAATGACCATGACCACGACAAAGACACAGCGACCGTAAGCAAGCGGTCTACCAGTTGCTCACAGCTGCCATCCACGTGTCGAGCACGGGCGTTCGCCGGTACTGTGACCGGGGGTAGGCGCTAGGATGCGACGCTGATGGGATAGGCATGAGTGCTGGAGGGCTGATATTAATTTAGGCGCTGAAAAGCAGCGGATAGGGACGAGCGCTCGTCTGTGGATTGGCATGCGAGCGGCAAGAAGGCATTAATGAGGTCAGAGTGGGCGAAGTTCTGCATGTGGACGAGGCCACGACCCCATACAATGTCAATTCGATGAATAGACCCCCGGCGGGTCACGCGATTGGATGTTGGTGAACTGTTCCATCCCATCGCATCTCGCTGCTTCCCGGAGCGACGAGACGAGAGCCCCGACTGCATCGCCCACTGCCCTGCCCGCGAATACTTCTTCCATGGAGTGCGATGGATGCAGCCCTTTTTTCGAGCTTGGGTTGGGCACCAACACTACCTCGGCATGAGCATCGACCCAATGCTCCTCCTGCTCCTGCTGCTGCTGCTGCTGCTGCCGCTCTTGTGCGAGCTGGGCTCGATAGCAGCTAGGCGGCAGTCACCAACAATCATCGACCCTAGGGGCTAAACTACTACCCCCCATCTAGTCAGTTTATCCATCTACCATCACTCTATCTGCGCAAATGGATCTGTCTAACTTACATCTACGACGTCGCACCTAAACCGAGCCTTCGGAAGTCGTTCACTTCACGACTTTGCACTCTTTGGCCCCATTCAATCAGAGTCCACGGAGAATAAATCCTCGCCACTACGGTAACCAATCGCAGTTTATTGACCCGTAAAGGCGAGCTGAAAGTCGTGCCGGACAAAAGACTCTTTCGCTACGATGGTACATCGTTCTCCTGGGCCTCGTTCGTGGTTGGAGCCATTGAAGAAAGGTCGTTCACACATAAGTCATCGGTTAGACGGTTCGCTCGCAAATCATTATGTAAGTCATCTCTGTTATGTGTCACGATGTCGTGGCTTGAATACTTCAAAGCCATGCGACCGACGAAGCGGTTGACGATTGACTCCGACATCGGGATTATTGCTCCAAGTCAAGGCCCTTCCATCCGGCATACCTTCGACGTGGCCGGGGCCGACGACGCTGGGCTACGGAGCCCTTCCTCCAGTCCGTCTCTATCCGCTCCGCATCCATCCGGCATACCTCTGACGTGGCTCGCGTTGAGTGGACAAGGATTTCGGGAGGACGACGTTCCCTGAAAGTTCAAGACAACGGCAAGTAACCCCGCGCGAAAGCCGACGGGTGTGAGTGGGAATCTCCGCCTGTCGGTCAAATACGAACTGAACGGGAACGGGAACGGCACGGGACGGAGGGAGGGAGTCGGACGGAAAGGCGTTTGGCTCGGAGCTCAATATTGTGAGGATAACAAGAAGGGATGAATATCTGGAGTTCACCTATACGAGGATGACATGTGGATGCCCAAGCACAGCGATTGGCCAGGATTCTGCCGGGTCCCATATGGGGCTTCTAGAAGCCCGATATTGGTGGTCACCCAGTGTGCTTATAAGCCGAAGTTGAGCGCTTATGGCTTTTTCCTTCCCATTCCCAACCTCGCAGGGGGGCATGGTCTGGGACGCTCCTCCCGAGCCCTCGAGGCGAGCTCGATATGGCTGCATTTGTCGATGCGGATCGAGGTTTGGCGATGGTTTTTAGCTGTTTTGATGTTCTATGGCTCGTGGATATGGTTTCGGTTCGCATGTGGCGTGGTCTGTGCGATCTGTGAAGCCGACTTTGTACACTACGGTCGAGGGACTGCGAAGTTTTACGCCGGGGGGGCCTCGTGGTGCAACGACAGGTCGATGCAGGGCGCTTGTGGGCATGAAGTTGGTAGCATAGTGCTATGGAAGGTCGAGGTGGATGATTAGAAGGATTCCAGGATTGGAACACATGGTTTTTTGATCGTAGGCGCTGGTCTTGATCGAGAGGTGATCGACCGGTGTGTTTGTGAGGTCTCAACTGCTTACAGTTCGTGACTGTTGTGCCGCTTTGGCCCTGCTTTTTTCCTGAACGGACAAATCAGGTCGAAATGGCCCAAAAGTCACAAACCGTAAGCGGTGAGAAGGTTACGTTTTTGGATCTGATCTGTTGGAGAGCTCCGAGGAGGAGTGGCTATTAACAGATCACAATAGGGTGTTTGGGTTTCTTGAACGCCCACATATGTCACGAGGCGAAGTTCTCTTGAAAGTTCGCCTCGTTCATTTGAAGACTGCTTGTTGTGCTTCAATCTTACGGTTCTAAGCCGAGTTATACCTCGGTATCGAGACTTGTAGATCTTTTGATTATCTTGCTTTGTTGTACGAGGTGCTCACTTTGTCTAGAGGTCGATGCCCTGGCCGAGGTCATCACTACTTACTTCCTCTAGCAGGAAGTTTCGGTCGGATCGATCTTTTCTTTCTTCAACATTGACAAGCCCGTTTGTGCCGTTTGAGGCTCATAGGTGCAGGGGCTTGGAGCTTTGTTCAGTACTAATGAGCTTTTGTAAGCTTTCTGTGGAGATCTCTGTTCTTTGGTTGTGCTCTCTTGAGAGAATAGGGTGTCTGTGCAGGATTGTTCATGAAGGAGTCTTGAGCTGTCATAAGACAGGTTGGATATATGCGGGATACTTGGATCACTATGAAGGTGAAACATACAGAATTTCAGGTTTGAAGCGGTAACCGTCGAGGATGTGTTTCTTCTTTGTAGAGGATGTATGCCATGCAGGGTTTGGAGTTGGGTAATCGACACTGGTAACTGAGGCAGTATTAGTTACAGTTTATTTGACAGCCGGAACAGGTCTTACGAGCTCGATAGGGCTTAGCTTGGATGGCGAAACAGATGTGGGCTACTCCGATCATTAATTGTGGTAATCACTTTAGTCATTGGTTCTTGGTTGTATGAAGGCCGGGTTATGGTAGTGTGAGGTTCAGGTCAGGTGATATTGCTGCGGATTATGTTCGAATGGCGGTTCAATGTTGGACTTGGAAACAGCGAAATCCGATTTGTGGACAGAAGAAGCAGCTAACAGGTTTTCCTATGCCAATGTGGATAAATGAAAGTCTCCGTTCTGGAACAGGAATTTATTGAAGATAGTTTAGGGGGCTTATTATGCAAGCTCGTTTTTAAGATTGAAGGATACCATCCGTTCTCTCATATCAGATTATGATTATACATTATAAACAGGTCGGAGGAGAACAGAGACGTATCCATGGTGCGGAGAAGTAAGTTTCTGACAACTTGTGGCGATACCCATGGTTATCTTCTAAGCCTTTGGAAACGGTCATGAGGCGGTTAGTGTTTGCTTGGAGGTCATGTTAGAGATGTTTGAAGGAAAAGTCAGTCGTCTTATCTCCTCTTCATAATAATCGCGGTCGACATCGCAATCGGTAACTTGTTACTGGACGAAACGAGGGGCATATTTCACTTCAACCGTTTAATAATGCTTGCGTACCCACTCATATGTCCTCCCATACCCTTGTTGCCAGCACAAATCGGAGGGGACAGGTGTGGCCGGGATCCTGTTAACCAGCCATGTCAGATTCGTGGGGTAAATTTATCTAAGTTTATATTGATACAGAAGTGTTTGCATGTTGCGATTTGCGTCCTGTGGACGCCAATATGGCGTGCGACCTTTCCGTCCTCTTACATGCGAAGGTGTCAACCAAAATCAGCTGAGGACACGGGCTTTTGGGATGTCGTCGGTCTTGCGGAAATTCTCCTTCGGTATGAAGACCTTGCAAATTTTGTGATATATATGAGTTCTCTCCATTTTCAAAAATACGGCATATTGACTGATTTAGAACGTCTAAGCTGATCACTATGTCGCCGAGCATATCATTGGGATTTCGATGGCTTAACTGTGTTCTAATCACTCCAAGGAATTCACGCTTCTTCGCCTCCGCTTGAGCTGTGGAAGCCGGATTCCCGCCTGGCCGTCCTTGTGGGCGAGGACTCGTCATCCGTCGGTGTCAAACAATTTCATCCGTGGAACTTGGAATCAGGTTTGATCTTTGATATTTCGTCACAAGTATAGATATGTATGTGCCTGTCGCGGTGTCCAGTGACTCCGTAGACAGATGAATTACGTGGAGCCAGATCGCAGTTTTGGATTATGGTATTTCGGAAATTTGCACTGTTATGCTCACTGGGTGTACCGCAACTTTGCTTAGATCCTAGGCCATGAGGAAGTCGTTCATGTTGCGAAGGAGTTAGGGCATGGCACCATTATTGGAAAGCCCAATGCATCATATGTCGCAGACGTGGGGCAACGGTTTGCCCATTGGTAGGCTCATAATATGCAGGGGCCCAGCTCTCGTGGCTGTGCCTTTGACTAGCGTCGCTTGCTGCAAAGCAAAAACGAAACGTTTTCCCAAAAGCGTTGGCCCAGTGGAGAGTTTGAAACGGGGCGTGAAGACTGCGTGCGTATCGAGAGCGATGGAGTCAAATCGCACACCAAAGTCGATTAGGGTTGAGCCGCGAGGGGGAGCAGGGGGGGGGGGGGGGGGGGCCGATGGCCTACTTGCGCAGCGGCCAAACCCGGCAGGTGGGCTAAATTCCTGCGTGGTTACAGTTACAGCGAAGATATAATCGACGCACAGGTCTCGAGTGCTTTTTGACTTGCCCCGGGAAGTTATGAGGGCCCCGAGGAGTCGTCCAACCTTATTATCAGGAAAGTGGGTCGCCCACGTTGGGTCTTCATTGAACATGTCGCCTGCGCCGGACAACGTGGCCCGGGTCCTTGCCCATACTCGCGTACTGCTGAGGCTCTGGAGGGAGGAGTCTCCGGGCGGATGATTCGCCCGTCAGCGCTGTCAGGCCTCGCACGTAAAGTCGTCTTTGCGTCCAGGAATAGCAGCGCGTTGCCGCTGGGTTAACGTTCTGTTGCTCAGCAGGGCCCTTATCATCAATCAACGGCCCCGGCCCCCGCGGATGGAACGGGCCGACTGGAGTGAGCGAGGTGCTCATGAGTGCGGCCGCTTACGGAAGGTCTGCCTGCCAGTCCCGGTCTCAGGACCCAGCCATTCGTAATTAACGCCTTTTGCAAGCTAACTGCTATCCCATCACACGCTTTATTGTGGCAGTCTTAAAAGGGTTGCGACCTCCAGAATCGCTGTAATCAGATTCAGGTACGATTCTCACTGCATGACATTTGTCAGTATGTCAGTCACTTATAGCTCCAGCCTGTCCAACGTTGGGCAGAGTGATTGGTTGCCATGTTCTAGAACCTGTCCTTTCCTCGCGAATCCGTTGTTGCCCTGTTTGGTTTGGTGCAATTTGTGTCGACATCTGGATTGCGTTTGGTGAATGAGTGGGGTAAAGGGCTGGATAAAGCTCCGAGCTGCGATCTATCTCGGAAATTTCCCGGCTTTTTCTCCAGGGCATCAATCACAGAACGTGATGCCGTTGGCTTGTCTGGTCATTATGATAATCTATCCCTTGCCTGAAATGGTCTTCTCTTGTATGGGACGGGAAACCAGTGTTGCCACAGGGCTAAGACCCGTCGGCTAAGAAATGAATTTTCTCGGATGCTCGGAGAGCTGTCCCCACGAAAGAAACAGGTATGTGTCGTGGATATGGTGCCCGAACCTTTGCTGGAGGAACAAATTGGAAGTCAGACAACATCTGCCAGAAATTGAATGTCTTTGGTAAAGGGAAAGTTGGACGGTTTTGTACTGTTATGATGCATGAGGAAAGTGTTGAGGGGCTTTTCAAGATTGGCTTTCTGTCGAATAGTGTATCTCTGTATTTCCGGGAGTATAGAAGAAGATTTGTTTACCCCGTCTGCACCTCATCGTGCTGTCCAAGCGCGAATGGGCGTTAACTTTGTACTTATCACCAGCTGGGCGTGATCGCATTGAGATATAGTCAGCCTCAAGCACATGTCTTCATTGTACTTCTCTATCATTTAGTCAGTCACTTGCTGGGAAGAATGACACCCTTTCTACACGAAAATAGATCATGCAAGTTTGATGTGAGAATGCTGCCAGTAAGATATTTTATACTTCCATCATGATTACTGTGGTCCCACCAATTGTTCGGTGTAGAATCTTGCGGATTTGATTTGCTGCGAAGACCAGAAGGTAGAATAAATCGTTCTAATACGAAAAAATAGTAAAATATTCGCTTCTCTTTGAAATTAAATAATTGTCTTGACTCTTTTCTTTAATATCACACAATCTGTTAGACTACGGAGTAACACCACATTGGTGTTTTCTTTTATCTTACACATTTTTTTAGAAAACCTATTCAGGAAGGAACAGTGGAATGATAACGCATTAGTTCAAGATGACAAACCAGAGGTACTAACGTCCAGTCAGTTTTCTACAACATACTCATCATTATCCTCGGTTTGTCGACCTATATGGAGTTTACCTACACCATTCTCTAACAGTAATGTGTGGATGAAGTTAATCAACAAACCTATCAGACTGGACTTTTGTTATAAAACACAGCAAACACTCTACTAAAATGTAGAGTTTATACTCCTTGAACGAAGATAAGCCTCTAGAAGTATCATGACTTTTTTTTGATACTCATATTCAGTGCCGAAGTTGTAATGTTGAGCTAAGCTTTATCGTGGACCAGAGTTCTATTGTTTAAATACTTCCCTTGGACAGTTTGTGGGAAAAATGCTTTGTTCGAGTGTTGTGTAAAGTTTCTTTTATAGAATGAACATTCAGATGCTCTGGTTTGTGAGGTAACATTATACCACTGGTCGCCAAATCTCTAGAAATATCCGACGAAAGAATTTATTGATTAAATATTTGTCAATCAAATATCGAACGTTCAGAGTTTATAATAGTGTTTACCAATCAAGTTCTTTTCAATATTTGCTATTTATATAGATAAATAATTCGATTGTATACCAATTTCTAGTATGACATACAAAAGAACTGTATTGTTAACACTACAAAAGTGAATAGAAGTGATCATTGATATCTACTACAACGAATTTCACAATTTACACCTGGTTTAAAAGAAATATCAAGTCAGACAAAACGTAAAGTAGATAACAAATTTCTTTATTGCTCTGAACAAATTTTGATTATTTGATTCATTTGAATTGTGGAAATAAGAAATTATAATTAAATTATTGAATGATAATTTTGGATGTAGTCAAGTTTGAACTCTGATATCACTGTATCATATTCACATGTTGGAAAAATAAAAATAGTTATTTTGGTAAGATTCAAAATTAGCCTTAAACATACAGATAATCTCAATGAATATATTGGAAAAAAATATTTAATTAATACTAAGACAAGGTTGAAATTAATATAATTATATTAACGGGAAGTAAAACCTAGAAAGTTAAAGTAAAGTAACTAACAAGTTTATGAAAAAACCAACATTCATAGAATTTTTTCAAAGTATTTTAAAGATAGTTTTTATATTTTTTTCATACCTGCGAAATAATTACACAATTTAAAGTGAGCATAGAAAAATATATCTATTGAATGTGAACAATTTCCTTTTTTGGTCTTATTTAATTATTTTATTAATAAATAAAAGTATGCAAACATTATTAACATAATAATGTTGCATAACAAATAATCCAAGTATGACAAAATAGTAATGTAGTGTTATAATAGTGTATATAGATGATATATAATCTTGTCAAAAAAATTAGTGTTTGTGTCGCAAAGTATATACACAAAATTCATATTGAAATAATTATTTTTAATGCATTGTGCACACAAATAGTGTTCTTTGTCTTGTTGGGATGAATTTGAGTAGTTCAAGATAATTTTGATTGATTTGATAATAAATTATCATTTCTAAAATATAGTATTGATTAATGATGAAAATAGATTTCATGAAGATTGTGCAAACAATGAAAATTGTAATTTACTTTATTGGAGTTGTAAAACTTTTAACTATTCTTAAGAGTTTTGTTTTGTGTTTATCAGTTTCATTTGATAAAAAGTTATATAATTCTATTGAGATGTATATCAACTTGTATTTATACGTTCAATATATATATTGCTTTTAAGAGAGCTGTTGATTAGAATTCACTTTTGGCTAATTAGTACTACTCTTACTATATTCTCT